TATATCATTCTGCCCTCGCTAGATGGAATGACAACGGCAGGGTAGTACATGCAATGCAACGATTGTTTGTGTTACTCGTGCTCTTGCAGGCAAGGGAGGGGTCGTCATTCCATTTCAAATGATTTGCAACAATCCACGCACCTAGATACATGCTGCCTGGATGATAAATTGCAGAGGAAATGGCTTTAACAATATCGCCATACTCAAGTAATTCTAACAACAATCCATTAGAGTTGTGTTTTACTGAGCCATTTTCCAAATGCCAACAAGAATGATTGATTTCAAATGTGATTGGCTTTGATGCTACGTAAAAAGGAAGTTTACCAAAGAAAGGAATGTTAACAACTAGACTGGTTGACCGATTAAAGTATCAGGCATTTTGCGGTGATGATTTACAGAGTTTTCTTCACCTATATGAACTGCTCTTATATTGATCAACAGACAACTAAAAAGAAACTCGCAGAAAAATCTGAAGCTTTATGGGAGTTGTCAAGAACCAAATCCGAGTTCTGGATAAGTTGATTCAGTAGAACGGAGTTGGAGAACCCTCTTCCATGTGTCCTGTTGCCGCAGACAACTAGGTGGTTATTGTTGGGAATTCCGACCGGTGATGTACTGATATTTGCTCATAGGAGGGGAAGTACACTGACACACGGTATTTAACGTGGTTCGGCAAACCGCCTACATCCACGGGAGAAGCCATTGCATTATGTAGGGAGAGAACAAGATTTACAACAATAGAGCAGGAGGAATCATCTACTCTTTTTGACAACTCTCAACCTCACTCTTTTCTCTCTTTGTAGTGCTGCAATGGCAGTTACTGCTTGCTGCCCTTGGCAGCACTCTCTCCTACATTTCTCACCTCTTTGTCTCTACTTCCTCTCTCATTTTGCTCTCTCACATATGCATCTATTTATAGGCATTCATGGAGGCTCTTCTTCAACAAAGGTGGCTGCCAACTCCAGCTCTTCTTCAACAATGGTGGCTGCCAACCTTTGACATCTTGGATGGGTGCACATGGTTGGTGCAACTCCAACTGCAGCTGCTGCAATAGTCAATGGTTGTTGCACATTAATGGCAACCAACCCAACAATCACCCCCTTTGCCATTCATGTGGGGCAACTGTCCTCTTGTTTCTTCAACACAAGCTTGCATCTTGCAGCTCTTCCAAGCTTTTTATTTTGAGAGCGTTTGTGGCCAAGTTTACAGCTATTTGCCAAACCTTTCAATCATTAGAGTAACCTAAGCACACCTTTTCTCACACAAAAGAATCACTATAACCAGATGGTCTGCCACATCACATCTGAATAGTTTAACGCTTGTCTCTGGAACAACATTCCCCTTCGAGTGTATCAACCATGCTCGGTCCGGAATGATTCATCAAGCCTCACATCAAGGCTTATAACACCCCCTCAAACGAATATTTCAAGTGCAACAGTCATTATCTGAGTATCTCAATATGATCACAAGCTCACCACTCTTCCAAGAGTCTACTCATCTAGGAGTTGCGCCTGCCCTTTGTTCCACCCTAGGAACCACGCCTTACTTCTCCGTGAGTCTCTTGCTCTTAGTCTCAAGAGTCCAGGTAGCTTTCCACCTTTAACCATGGGGGCAGCCCATTAAAGGTTGATCCATATATGTCTTGATACTCTGAGTATTACAATGCCTTCACCGAGCTCACCACCTTGACAAGAATCAACTTGTTCCCGGAACCTGCGCATGCCCTCTGCTCCTTCATAGCAGCCGCGTCTTAATGCTCCACAAGTCATCCACTTATTGTCCAAGGCAAATGTCTTCTAGCTCATTGATCTTTAGCATGGGGGCAATATCCATGAAAGTCAATCTTGCATTTGTCTTCATACTCATTATAGCCACTTCATTGGCTATCCATACATGCATCTGTCCACTCATACCTGGCCATCACATTGGCCCTGGGGCATTTTGAACTGGGCTCCTTCCACGACCCTCACACCTTCTTCTAAGGTGTCTCCACTCGTCGTCATGCGGCGGTCTGATCATGGGCTCATCTCATAGCCTTCACACCTTCTCTTTAAGGTGTCTTCGCCTTTTATAGGCGGTCGCATCCTCCTTCAGCTGAGATGCTTCAAAGTGGCTCCATAAATTCTTTGCCACTGATTACATAGAAAGAGAAAGTTGCGGTATACTCCTCGCAATCCTCCATCTCAATTTCTATGTTTGGAGCTTCTACGTCTTTCATCATTGCACTTGACAGCTCCACCTACACCAACTCTCTTTGGTGTCTTCGCCTTTCATCATAGGCAGTCGCCTTTTATCATAGGCGTTTGCACCCCTTCAATTAGGTGCATCTGCAACAGCTCATCTTTCCATCCTTGCATGCATTGAAAAGGTCCTCGCTTGTTGCCTTTATCAAGAGCACAAGAGACTTCCTGTTGTACAACCTTCACACAGTCTCTGCTCTGAGCTTCATCTAGGAACTCTTCTTCTCCTTGCACTTGTTGTCTCATTATAGTACCTCATTGGATCCTTCGGGTGCTCCTGCACAATCTCCATGTGTCCTCGTGCATTTTCTGTTCTCCAGATTTCTCCCTATTCCTTGCTTATGTTTGACAGCAGCTCATCTTGTCACAACACCTATCCAAGTCAAAATAGGGTGCCAATATTTATCCCTTTGATGTATTTCTCTTCCATTATCAGGGTCTTCATCATTTCTCCCCTCGAGAAATTATAGTCACCGAATCTAACTTCCTTTGAGAAATCACCACTTCATCAGATCCTTGATCATACGGAACCCAACTGTTCCTTTGTGCCGTCATCCTGTTAGTCTTCAACAGTTTCATAACAAACTGTCACATATATGAAAATAGTACCGTATGGATAATCCTTCCACTAAGCAAGTTCCTAGGAAAGATTGGAGGGGTCACAACGGTCCCGCTTAAAACCCAATCTCCTAGCCAGAACTTCTTAGGCCATATCTATCCATCGTACTGTCTTTTCGTATATACAACCATTTGCTAGCTTTGTCGCGGCTTTTCTTTACAAGTGATCTGGAGTATCCTGGTTTTATACCTGATTTCTCAACATCTGGCGAGACTACCAGTGCTCAGATTTGTCAAGATTGGTCTTCATCAAATTTCACTCTCCACCTCAAATTGTCCACATGATCGGGTGTTTAGAGTGTCCCAATTTTTCCTTCCCTCAAGGCAATTAAAATTCCCCACATAACACTTCAACACATGTAATTAGGCAAACATGTGTGATTTCTTCTTCATCATCTCCATTGGCCACCATGATGATCATCAGATGCCTCCTAATCGGACAATTTCTCTTTAATAATTCACCACTGTCATTTATGATCTCAATCTCAATGATCGGACCATACCATTGCATCCAGAACGATCAAATTAGCTAGAAACAAGTCTTAAATCGTCCAAATCGCTCTTCAGACGACTAAGATTTGATCAAAACAATTCTGGCCTCATAAACGGCCCAGATTCAATCTCAAAACCGGTTGCACGTAAACTCCGCCACACAGAATCTTGTCCCTCGGCTCGCGGCTCGGCTCGGCTCCAACTCAGCTCGGCTCGACTCACTCTCGGCTCGCGGCTGGTGACGTGGCAATAGGTCCCACAGTGCTGACGTGGCTGCTAACTGGTGCTGACATGTCATGCCACCTGTTCATGCTGACAAAACTGTGACGTCATGGTGATGTCATCATCATCCGGATCTCGTGCGTGGGTCAGATCTTCTGGTATTCGGGTCGGGTCAGCCCATCCGGGCGAAGAAGACGCGTGTGACACATGGCGCGTGTCCAGTCACCCCGCCAGCGCGTGACGGCGCGTGCGGCGAATTCCGAAGTTCGATTTTGACGCGGTTTTCACCAGTGGCTTCGTCTCTTCCTCCTCTACACAGTGGTATGGTCAAAACATAATTTTGACAACTTTCATTTTTGAGCAAAATCAAACACCACTTTGAACCATGTGCTCTGATACCAATTGTTGGGAATTCCGACCGGTGATGTACTGATATTTGCTCATAGGAGGGGAAGTACACTGACACACGGTATTTAACGTGATTCGGCAAACCGCCTACATCCACGGGAGAAGCCATTGCATTATGTAGGGAGAGAACAAGATTTACAATAATAGAGGAGGAGGAATCATCCTCTCTTTGAGCAACTCTCAACCTCACTCTATTTCTCTCTTTCTAGTGCTGCAATGGCAGCCCACTCTCTCCTACATTTCTCACATCTTTGGCTCTTTTCTTT